AATTTTATGAGTTCTACAGGTTATTATTTATCTACTTTTCAAAAAGGCACTCCTTCTTTGGCAGACAATTTTTATAAAGCTAGAACTTTTTAATCTTTTATATATATATATATATATATATATATATATATATATATATATATACATACATATATATATATATATATATATATATATATATATATATATATATATATATATATATATATATATATATATATATATATATATATATATATATATATATATATATAATGCAAATAAAGATATAGTTTAAAAGACAAATAATGAATTAAGAATCGGAAAACTCGAGGAGGACCAGGATGCCACTGAGAAACCGCTCAAGATAAAATAGAATGATTTGGATGATCATAAGGTTAATGTTTAAATGTATATCTTCTTAATGTTTTTTTTTAAATATTGCATCAATGAGATCTCAGCCTCTAAAAAAACACCTTTGTAAAATCTTTTATTATCAAATTTTTAAAACTGTCAGCTTTTCTTTGCTTTTCGGTGTCCACGGCGTTTGCAGTAATCAATCAAACATACTTTGACTATTTTTTCGATGAGACTTTAGTCACACTATAAAAAAAAAAAAATTAGCTACACCAACTTTACCCATTTTGATATAACTAAACTTTTTTTAAGCTTCTTTTCATTATTGTAATCTCCATCTTTTGACTTCTTGAAAAAACTTATAAAAACTTTTACATAATTGAAATATCAGTATAATTCACTAATGCGACATTTCTTAGATTAGGCGCCTTTTCAAAGTTAATTTGCTAATTCGCATTTTATAATATCCCATTTTGCGATCGTTTTAAATAAGCAATAATTTTAAATTTAATAATATAACAAAAAAACTGTTAAAGAACAGTCATTAAAACTACAATTAATAACAGCGCCTTAATTGGGAATGAATGCCTCTATTATTATGTTTAATAAGTTTGCCTAATAGTTTACATTAAGTTTAATTTTTTCAATTTCAAATCAACGAATAAAATTTTATTTTAAAGAATTTAAAATCCCGCCGGACAAAATGTCCGATGACTTTCTAAATTGATCGGACAATCTGAGGTTTTAGCCGGACAATGTCCGATGTCGACTGTTAAATTAGGCCCTGCAAAGTTGTAAAAATTTTTCAGTTTTTTTTTAATTTTGTAAATTAAAATAATTCATCTTCAACAAGATTGCAAGTAACTATTATTAAGTTGACAGTAACTAGAAAACAAAAAAAATTCACCTTCAACAAGATTGCAAGCAACTTTTATTAAGCTGATAGTAACTAGAAAAAAAAAAAAATTCACCTTTAACAAGATTGCAAGCAACTATTATTAAGCTGATAGTAATTAGAAAACAAAAGTAATTCACGTTCAACAAGATTTCAAGCAATTATTAATAAGCTGGTAGTTACTAGAAAACAAAAATACGTGTTAAAAAGTTAGAAAACGACTGGCAAAAAACTTAAAATGTTAAAAGCTGTTTAAGTAAGGAACGCATTAAGATAGGAGAGAGTTCTGCAGTGTTAAGCTTTTTATAAACAGTGTGGCTGTTAATTTATGCAAAAAATTCACATATAAAATTCGAAAAAAGTAAAGTAACGATTCAGATTAATGTTTTACTGCCCCATATGTTGTTGTTTTTTGTCCCATATGTTGTTGTTTAGATAATTTTGTCCCATATGTTGTTGTTTAGATAATTTTGTTCCATATGTTGTTGTTTAGATAATTTTGTCCCATATGTTGTTGTTTAGATGATTTTGAGCACGACAGGTTTTTAAAATTTTTATCATCAATTCTTAACAACTTCTTGGTTCTTTTATAACCACTTTTTCGCTTGATTTATTTTCTTTAACTCTTTTAAAACCTCATATTCACATAATACAATTATTCTTAACTCTTTTATAACCACTATTTTACGTGATACAATTTTTTTTTCCTCTCGTACAGCTAACCTTACCACTTTCTCACATAACCTAACTGAAAAACAGCCCATTGCAAATCAATTTTTAATTCCAAAAAAAATGAAACTATGCCTTGATAATACATGGCGTAAATATTAGTACATATGTCTTCACTGATATAAAAATGAAATCATTTTTTGGCATGTCTTCATAATGATTTTCTTATTACATTCTCAATTATCAAAAATTATTTAAGGATTTCCTCTTACTTTTTGCAATGTTATCACCTCCTTCAACATGACTGTCAATGCAATTGTTTTCATTGACATTGGAGCATCTTAATTGAAAGACGTAAGTTTGTCACGTTACGTTGCACTCAATTTATTGCCCACTTAGAAGGAATCAATTTCTCAAAACTTGATTTGATTTTCTGAGCAAAGATAGACAGAGAGCTATGCAATTTAATTTTAGCTATGCAACTTGACTTGAAGCATTTTGTTTAGCTGTTGCGAATTTTGTTCAATTACTAGTTTGTTTTTTTGTTCTAATTTTATATCTTGAATCTATTTTTTTTAAAAAAAAAAAAAAAAAAATAGATTCAAGATATAAAATTAGAATAAAAAGGCTATATTTTAACCATTTTTTTATTTTACATATTTCATTTAAAAGTCTTTTTAATTAAGTAAAAAAAAAAATTGAACTCTTGCTGGCTGGCCTCTCCAAAAACTCTGGTACCGCAATGGCTACCTATGCTGGACATGGCTAAAGATGAGCCTGCTAGCTTGACATTAGATATAGGCACAGCATTCAAGACATTTTTTGCTATCTGTATAAATTGAGTAAACTAACCTTTGTCAATCAAGTATTTCATAGAAAATTTTCTGTTGTAATTTACTTCTAAAAACATTTACAGTCAGTTAATAGGATAATGTGAGTAATATTTTTTATAAATATTTTTAATCAGAAACTTGCGTTGCATAAGGTTTTTAAAATTCGATGTCGAACAAAAGTAGTGTCACTGATAAAAATAAAAACTTTCAGTGTAACTCACAATAGTAAAAAAAAAGAATAAAAAATATCTGAATTGAATATTTGTTTTGTCTGATTACGGTAATCAAGTTTTAGTTCTGTAACGAGGCTAAGTGTTAGTTTTATATTTCATATTTGCACAAATATAATTATAAACTGACCTAATATGTAACTTTTTTATTTATTGTTCATTGCCCCCCCCCACCTCCTCCAGGCCGAGATAGCAACTGCAGTTAGAGAGGCTACTTTTTTATTGTGGCTACAACTTTCTCGTAACTCTTTAACTATAGAACACAAACCTTAAAGAACAAAGCTGCTGCGCAAAGAAATAGATGATGCGCCGTACTACCAGTGACGTGATGAGGGTTTAGCTCGGAACTTCTTGTTTATGAAGAGAGCGCTCTACCATTTCACCACAACCGCAACTGACCCAAGTGTCTAATTTTATGATAAAGTCAAATTTTAATAAAACATTTTCATTTTTCAACTTAATTGAAAAATAGACTGTAGGTTGTTTTATTTCAAAAAAGTCAAATTTAAAGATGTCGTCGACAATATCGCAATAAAAACCATGTGAAACCCCTTTAGTTACGCGTTTTATTTCACGCGTTTTATTTCTCGTAGTTTAAGCTTAAGCCATGTAGTTTTAAACTAAAATTATGGTTAAAAGTATCATTACCCTGAGTTTTGTTATTAAAAAAATATTTCATAACGCAAAATTACAAGGCCAGCAGCAATAAAATAATCAAAAAAAGTTTCTTTTTTTAGTTATCACATTTCTTAGCAATCTGCCAGCTTAACCGAAACCTTTTACTTAGTCTAATAATCTACTAATAAAGTTTTCATCCGGTAACTGCAGACAAACAACTGCCGACAAACAACTGCCGACAAACAACTGTCAAACTTACTTTGACGACTGACGTCATCAAAATTTCACTCAACGTCAATAAAGCAGAATTATTCAAATGTATAGTCTTTGTAAAATTTATTGTGTGCACATTTGTGACCGATGCCAATACCAATTGATTAATCAATTATTAAAACATTTTAAAGTACCCACATAACTAAATTAAAACCGCTTTATCTGCGTCAAAAGCACGCTTCAAGACTAGTGTTCAACAAAAACAAACTTACTCATGCTCAACCCCTACTGGAGCAAATGAACGCTTTAAATATTTTTCAAATATATATTTTTCAAAAAATTTTAAAAATATTATTTAAAGAGGGTAAAATAAATTTCAAATTGATATACATTTTCTATATAAACACTTCAAAAGTCCTTAGGAATGTATAAAATTTTAGACGTAATATATTCTAGTTTAAGTTTGTTATATTTAAAATATAATTTTCATATCTGTTTTTCATTTATTTAAAGTATTATTTTTATAATGTAGTATAAAAAAGTTTATAAATAAGCAATCGCTTGAACAATCGGCAAAAAATCAATAAAAAAGACTTATGTAGATGCTGATCATCGGTACATCACTCCCAATTATATTTGCAAGAAGTACATAAGAATTATGTTTGGAAGAAGTACATAAGATTTATGTTTGTAAAAAGTACATAAGAATAATGCTTGCAAGAACTACATAGGAATTATGCTTGCAAGAACTACATAAGAATTATGTTTGAAAGAACTACATAAGAATTATGTTTGCAAGAAGTACATAAGAATTATGTTTATACATAAGTTTGAAAAATCCGATGGCATTAATTTAAACATCAAAGTTTTACTTAAAGTAGAGAAAATAAGTAGTTTATTATTTAAAACGTTTATTATGTTATAGACTATTTTTCCGGTTGCAGAACAGACAATATAGCAGAAGTATTAGCATTGATATTGGCACTAAAAGTAGTAGTAGTAGTAGTAGTAGTAGTAGTAGTAGTAGTAGTAGTAGTAGTAGTAGTAGTAGTAGTAGTAGTAGTAGTAATCAGTAGTTTATTATTAGAATATTAGCAGTTGCAGTATGAGCATCGGTATAAACGAGTAGCAGTAGTAACAGTTTTTTTTTTAAAAAAAAAATGTTTTTTTTCAATTATTATGTTTATTTTTCCTCAATTTTTTTAGGCTTTTTAGATGTTGATTATAATCTTCTTGTAAGCATCAATGAGAGAACCAGTGTTATAGAAAATGGTAATAGGCTTTCAATGACACCATATTTTGGTATTTGATTTAGCTTTTTTTCTGGCATAAACTAAACTCCACACATTTGTAAGTTTATTTGTATGGCAAAAAAGATGCTTTACAAAAGATTGCAATATTTGGAGCTCAGAAATAAAAAAGAATTTAGTATTTTATTTATTGTTAGTGTTCCAAAATATGAAAACTTAGAAATGTAAAATTTTTATATTCCTCGAATTAAGGGGTTAAGACTTTATATGTTTATTTTTTTTTTGAATATTAAAAGACTATTGTATAAAATTATAGCAGCAAATAAGAAAAAACTTTATAGACTCATTGATCTCACGCTTGACAGTAAAAAAAGATTTTTTAATTTCTCAGTCTTAAATGATTGTAATCTTTTGCTAAATGTCTTTTTTTGGCCTATAATAAACATAATCGGTAAGTGTCTGGAAGTTGTTAAACTGTTTATCTGGAAGTTAGCTATTTTAAATTTCAAAAAAAAGTTTTTGTTTTTGTTTTTTTTACAATTTTAGTTAAATGTAATTTATATTTGCTCTTTTCTATACACTGATAGTCAGTTATTTAAATATTCTATTCTACATTATGTTTGTTCAGTTAAAGAGATCAGTAAGTTAAGCTAAGCATCACTGCTTTAGAAAACTTGAGCGTTGTAATTCTTAAACTACTTTATTCCAATTGAGAGTAAAATAACTTTTTAGCAGCTTTTTCCAAAAAAATGTTTTTAAATGCATTAAATTTGTTAAAAAATTAATAGAGGCGAAAAAGTAAATGAAACAAAATGCAGACCATAGGTTTAAAAATAATAACATATTGTTTACTAAAATTTAAAAAAAATCGTTTTAAAAGGTTAAATATGAAAAAATAATGACTTTTTAAACTATGAAAGAAATAATTATCTTTTTTTATAGTTTAGCTATGAAGGAATAAATAAATAAATACGCAAAAAACTTTTCAAAACTTAACATCTCAGCACGGTCACCCAATAAACACATAAAAGTCTATAAAATGTCGGAATGACATAGACAAAGGTTAAGTTTTGGTTGATAATCCGTTCAAAATGAGATCCAGATTAACATTTAAAACAAACTTTCATTAAATGTTAAGATTAAAACGTATTTCTGATGTCTAAACGTAGAAAATGTCTTTAGATTTAGTTCTTAAATGTATATAAACAGGGCTATTGACACCGGAAAGGCCAGGGGTTCCCTCCCCAAATCCCCCCTCCCCACCACACACACACTTTCTTCTAAAAGACCTAATTTTTTTATTTTTATTTTTTTAAAGGACCCTATTTTTTTTTATTTCTAAAGGACAACAAAATAAACTATTAAAAATACTTTACAAATATATATATATATATATATATATATATATATATATATATATATATATATATATATATATATATATATATATATATATATATATATATATATACAAAGCGTGATAACAGTGTAAACTAGATTTTTGAAAGAAGATCACTAAGATAGCTCTTATCATCGGAACCTTAAAAACAATAAAAAAAAAAATAATTTACAAATACCTTGTAAAGTATGTTACAATGAAGTAGAATATATATATATACAGAAATTTTTACATAAGCAAAACTTTAAACAATATAAGCAACATATATAAATGTAAAAACAATATAAATAGTTGTAAAGAACAAAACTTTAAGAAAAAAAAAAAAAATCTAAAATAAAGTTAAATAACAGATAAATTAATTAATAATACTGTAAAATATTATTATGGAAAAAAATTAAATTTTTTATTATAGACTCAATATTCTAGACATAAAGCCAACTCCATTTTACATGTTTATACTTATGTCGAATAAGAATGCAATCCAAAAGATTGCAAAAATAAAGCATGAAAACAATACAGCTCTAAAGTTTACTGGATAGATATAAAAAAGTTATTAGTGTTTTCTCAATATTATGTGTTTTTTCAAAAATTGTATGTGTTTCTTACTCTTAACTTCTCCTTTTTTAACTTATATGTTGTAAACTGCTGTTGTAGAGTGTTTTATTTATTTGGCAATTCATATCAATAATATTCATAACAAATAATCATCAATATATTTAACGTTTTCATTCTATTACTAAATTAAAAAGCCAAACAATTTTTTTTCTCCAAAATTGCTTAAAATAGAGTTGGTGGTTAAATCCCAAAAACTTTATATTTATTGAGAAATCATGCATAAAAATAAAATGGAAAGAGTTTTTTTACAACTTTAATTTCTAAATTTAATAAAAATAAAAAAATTAAAAATCCTTTTAAAACTTGTTTTGTTGATGCCAGATGTTATATTTAGTTTCGTTGGGTCTAAAATATTGTATTTATACTGCTGTGTTTATTAAAATTTAACTATATTCTAAAAGTCTTTTGAATGTTGAATATTTTTTATTATTTTCAATCAAGAATTAAAGAAACAATTGGACTACATTGTAAAAGAAAACAACAATGTTAATGTACAAAGTACTAATCAACAAATTCCTCGTAAGTAAATAGTTATTTTTACAATTTTTTAAATTAATTACCATTTTCAGGATTGATTAGTATTCATATTAAGTTATTTTTTTTATTGTTTATTTGTGTGTTTTGTTGTTTATTAGAATAATTTTTTACTTTTGAGAGAGAAAACTAAAAAAAAAATTGTGTAAACAACTTTTTATTTTTTAATTGTGTATACATATTTACAGAAAATATTTTATGAAGGGAATTTATTTTCTTGCCCAATAAAACATCAACAAAAACATTCACGTTCCAGAGGTATAAATATGTATCCAGATTTTACTTAGAATACTGTTTCATTTAAAAAAGAGTTCATAGAGAAATATAAATCAGAAAATTTACTCTTTTTAGATAGACAATTTTTAGATACTATTTTAGATTAGCTTAAGTTTTTTTTTATCTTTTTTAAGGTTTTCTTAATTACTTAATTCATATTTATTTTTAATTTATACCTATTGATATATTAAATAAAAATAATCATGCTCTTCTAATGCAGTTTACTCATTCTCATAAAACCCTGGAAACTAAATAGATAGTAGAGTTGCTCTACACGGAATTCTTTGTCAAAAGAAGTCATCAACGCAAACTCTTTGAATAAATTAAAAATTATTTATGAAAGATAAGTGAAACATTTAAACATTAAAATTTAAAATTAAAAGAAATTGAAAAAAACTTTAACACATAAAAAAATGTGTGATTCGCACTTGCTGATTATTTTAATAAAGCATTAAAACTCAAGCGTTTTTTGTTGTTTGAGATAGGTAACTTTAATACATGGAGCCCACTCCAGACATTAATAAGTTTATTTTTATTTCAAATAAGGAACATTTGTAAAAAAATTAGATGACCGGAGCTTGGGAACAAAGAAAGCCCTAAACTCTTTGCTCTCCCCCCCCCCCTCCTTTTTCCGCCATTAACGCGAGAGCAACGAATTTATAAAATATTTTTTTCGCTATTCATAACTAAAATTATATTCATTGACAAATTTTAAATTTCATAAAATAATATCTTCGTGTTTGAAAATTATGACAATATTAAGTTTGAACCTCCCTCAATTTGAGAAGGGCTGTAAACTTTGCAGGGTCATGAAAATCGAAAACTTTAAAATTTTTCTTGAAATTTGAAATTTGTTGATGAATATAAATTTAGTTATAAATAGTAAAAAAAAAAATTATAAACTAGTTGCTCTTTTGTTGAAGTTAGGGGGGGGGGGAAGAGTAAACTTATTAATGTTTGGAGTGTGCCCCATGTCTGAAAGTTACCTCAAATAACAAAAAAAGCTTGTTATGCGCCTCAAATTATATCACACTGCTACAAAATTTACTATAAATTTAATGTCATGCAATCAAAAAGTCAAATTACTATTCAATTATTAACTAAAAAAATTTTTTTTTTCTAATATACTTATTACATTTTTATAAAAAAACTGTAAAAACACCTACAGAACAAAATTTACACTAATATATTCTGTTATACAATCATTCATACTTAGAAGGTATATAATGGTATCGTAGTTAGTATAATACTGCAATAGTTAGTATGTATATAATAGGAACAAGTAGTTAATTTTATCTTAAGTTATTGTTGTAATAAGATAGTCTACTTGCACAGTCGTTCCATACTGTTCATAAGTTTTTGTTAATTTTTAAATATATTTAATATACTTTAACATGGGTTTATGAAGATATTGTATTAGCTGTCAAGTCATTTAAATCTTTTTTATGTTTTAGCATGGCTAGATTTGGTAAATATGGAAATGTACTTTAAAAAAAGCCTTTTTCTTGGCAACAGCCGCAAAAAAAAATGTAAGTGTAAAGATAATTTATAAATTTTATTAATTTATCCAATAGGAGAATCTTTAAGAATATTCTTTAGAGATATTTTGCATTGAATACTTTTATGAACAACCGATAGTTTTATTTTTTCAGCCTTTCTTGTCATGGGTGTGCCAACAGTTTATCGGAAAAAGGGATTTTACATTATTAATACTTTGCAATCGTTAGTAAATAATCTCAACAAAAAAGACTGCGACAAAGTTGTAATTGTTGTTTTTGTTGCAGACTTTCATCAAGATTACTTTCAAAAAGTATTAAATCATGTAAAATCAAATTTTTCTGAAGAAGTAAGCGCTGGATTAATACAGGTCAGTAACTATAAAAACTATTTTAAATACTAGTTTTTACCCCAGCTAGCACACATACGTTGTTAAAACATTAGAACAATGTCGCGCGTTTCGTTGGCCCAACATCGGCTGCCAACGTTGTTTTTATATCATTATGGTTACAAATGCGACGTCGCCAACAACTAAAAACCAATGTTGATAAAACGTTTTATTAAAGTCAGAAAATAGTTATATTTTTTACGTTGATTCAACGTTTTATTTTATACGTTGGCCCAACGTTGTATTTACGTTGATTCAACGTTGAACTTTAATTGGCAAAACGTTGTATTCAATTCTATTCGGAATTAAATTTTCATTAAATTCTAATTAATATATGTATATATATATATATATATATATATATATATATATATATATATATATATATATATATATATATATATGTATATATATATATATATATATATATATATATATATATATATATATATCTGTATGTGTGTGTATAAATACAGCTGACGTAAGCAATATATACACATGCCTAAGATTCATAACGCTTGATCATTAGAACAAAATTCGAGTTTGTGTTGATTGTGGTTTGATATTTAATAATTAATTCACCGAAGATTTTATTTAAGTTATATAATTTTCCAATAGCAATGCTTGGTCGCATACATTAAATCAACGTTGGGTTTAGTTCGTAAAAGCAATCAACTTTTTGCAATGTATTTACATACATTGGATCAACGTTGATTTATATACATTGAATCAACGTCAAAATTTATACATTGGATCAACGTTGGGTTTAGGTCGTAAAAACAATCAACTTTTTGCGATGTTTTTACATACATTGGAAAAACGTTGATTTATATATATTGAATCAATGTCGAGATATATACATTGGATCAACTTTGGGTTTAGATCATAAAAACAATCAAGTTTTTTTGATGTTTTTTCATACATTCGAAAAACGTTGATTTAAATACATTTAATCAACGTCGAAATATATACATTGGATCAACATTGGGTTTAGATCCTAAAAATAATCAACATTTTGCGATGTTTTTACATACATTGGACCAATGTAAATTTGCCAGATGTTTTTAGTTTCGTCGGTAATAATTTTATCATTAACCAAATGACATTGGATCAAAGATGGTATTGCATCGGAAAAAAGAGCCAATGTTTGCAATGGTTTTACATACATTGGCCCAATGTAAGTGTGCTAGCTGGGACTGGACAACTTTTTTCTTGGTGTTGCAAATGTATTTGAAATGTACGTTTCATATTGAGGGGTAAGCACAGCTATACTATTGTTTAACCAAAAAAACAATAATAGATGTTACTTTTTATTGTGTCTTTCTGCTATCCAAAATAATTTGTTTGTTATATTTTGGTAAGATATATAATTTCTGCTTGCTTTAAATCAATTAAATTATGCAAGTTTAAAATTAAAAGTTTTTTTATATTGTGACTGTTAACATCCAAATTATAGACCGTTTAAGAAAAAACTTGCGGTATTTGTGAAATTTTATCAATAGTGTAAAAGTTTCAGTACTAAACATACTTAAAGTGTAAAGTCCTATTCCTTTTCAATATTTCTGATATACTGCAAAGTTTTAACAATTAAAAGTTCTAGTTTTTTAACCATTCACGAACAGCTAAAAACCAGTTGTGGATTTTATTAATGAGTATAATCTAATCATGTACATCCAGTAATGAATAAATCCTAGTCACAGATATCCAGTAATGAATTTAGCCTAATCATAGACATTCAGTACTGAACATAACCTAGTCACAGACATCCAGTAATGAACATTAACTAGTTCTATAATGAGCATAAACATAGTTATATACACCTACTCTCGAGTCGTTTATAAAAGGAGGAAGCGACGTTCAATAATATTTGTTGTTTGAGATAGGTTACTTTCAGACATGGGGCCCACTTCAAACATTAATAAGTTTATGTTTATTTCAAATAAGGAACATTTGTAAAAAATTTTTCCACTCACCCTAAGCTTATTAAGACCCCCCTTTTTTTATTTTATATTTGATATCTACAAAAACTTTAAATCTCAATATAGAAAAAAAAATTTAGTGAAATTTGATCATAAAAAATAAAAAAATAATTATTTTAGTCACCGATAAAGACAATAACTTTCAGTGTAAACAGGCTTTAAAAATCAACGACCTCGTAAAAATTGTCAAAAATGAGCTTTTAGTTTATTTCTCAGCAAAGTAAAAACCTTATATCATCATATTAGATCATATTACATCATATTAAGTTATGATAAAACCACAGTCATAAAAAGTAGTAGTCCTTCTTATGGCTATGGTTAGAAAATACATTTGACCGCAATTTTTTGCCGACCTCAAACGTTTTCAGGTCGGCAGTTAGGTTGGCATTGCCGAATGCCAATTCTAATTCCAAGGGTTGTATAAATATATATATAAACTTGAAATATGATATTTAACCAATATAAAGCAAAAGATAGTCAAGCCAGTAAACAAAAGTAAATCTTTTTTTATCAAAATATTTATTATTAAAAATATTTTTTTTATTTTCCAAAAAATACACTTATACAAAGTATTTTTATATAATTAATTAAATAAACTTTAAGCTCTAAAGGCCTTTCAAAAATCATCAGTAGTGCTGTTTTGGTATTGTAGCACAATTTTTGTATACAAAATAAATTTAATTGCAATTGTTGCTATGAGTAACTATTTTGATGAATTAAGTTCTAATAATACACAGGAAGTATCAATTAAAAGTATCATGTTTTTGTTTGTGCAGATCTTTTTTGTATGATAACAAAAATGACTTTCATTGTTAAGGAAAAAAAAAAGTTGAAAAAAGGTTCAATTACATTTTGGTGGGAATGTTGACAGGTATAAATATGGTTGTCAAATTTATATGTTGATAGGCAAGTTCTGCAACTAAAAATATGTCCATTTATTCGTAATCTTAAACTGTTAGTTTTGCCAGTATATGTGGCTTATTTTTTACATGCCAAAAATTTAAGGTAAATTACATTTTTTCTGTTGCATGTGATGTGACTTTTTATTTTCCAGATAGTACCATTAGAAGTTCCAAACTCATCTTCTTCTTGAATGTATAGTCGGTATATTTTAAACCAAATGTCTTTGCATCTAAATATGCCCATCTTCTTATTATTTGCTTTAACTTTTAAAACAGTAAGTTTTCTTTGTAAGTTATGAGGTTGTTTAAAAGCTAATACCGGATGAATATTATTAAAACATTTTTGACTCTTTCATTATGAGACTTTAAGTAAAAGGTTAGCTACTGACATTAACGATTGACAATTGAGATTATTGTCACTAAAGGAAATATTTCTTTATACTTCTTTTGTGGCACTGGTCCTTGTAATTTTGCATTGTGGAGTGCTTTATCTATAATTACAACAGGATATTCACAATCTTTAACCATGATTCTAGTTCTGCTAGATGAAGTTTTTCAATTTCGTAATTAGATGTAAAAACAATTATTCTTTTAGCTAAATTATAAGGAATATTCTTTTTGATGTGTAATGGATGATGACTGTTGTAGTTGTCATGAGTGTTAGTTTCATGAGTTGTCATGAGTATTAGTTTCTTTATAATAAATGTCTGTTTGAATTTATATATATATATATATATATATATATATATATATATATATATATATATATATATATATAACTATATATATATAACTATATATATATATATATATATATATATATATATATATATATATATATATATATATATATATATATATATATATATATATATATATATATATATATATAAATATATATATATATGTATATATATATATATATATATATATATATATATATATATATATATATATATATATATATATATATATATATGTATACTAATAAACCAAATAAATCTATTGACAAGATATCGAGGATCAAGATAATAGTAAACAACAATAAACATAAAACAAAAAAGTGTTATATACTTAAATCAGCTCTTATATTAACACCAATTGAAACTGCATATATAACATGATATGTAAAATGGGAGAAGCTAATAAATAGTATCTATATGCTTGCGCGTGTTTATATATGTGTGTGTGTGTGTGTGTGTCTTTTAAATTTTATACTATACTACTAGAAGGAACCTCTAAGTTGTGTTTACTCACAGAGCTTAGCTAATAGTAAATACAGCATTGATAAACTAAAAGGTTATGAGAAGATCAGTCACTATATGATATTTGCTGTTTACCATACAGTTGTGTTAGTAAACCTTCTAGCACACTGTATTGGATAAATAAAAACTAAAAGGTGCATATAGAAATAGTCCATACAATAAAAAAACGAAAGTTAATTTAAAATCTTTTTCAAAAGTTTTAAAATTCTTGTGGCAAAGAATTCTATTTCAACCTAATTATTTTTTTACTTTAACCAACAACTTTTTTTAAAGATTATTTGAACAAATTAAAATGCACTTACTCGATCTTATTAATTCTATTCAATACGTTCTTTACAATACGGTACGCATTATCTGGAGTTTGCTCCATGTCTGGAATTTAACTCAAAGACCAAAAAATGCTGGCGCCGACCCTGCCTCCTGTGTTACATCTTTAATCTATCACAAAATAATATAAGAAAATTTGCATTCGTATTTCATTAGATTCGTTAAAATTGTTTGAACAAACCAACATACAAGATGAAATATAATTTTAGTACGAAAGTAAGATAATTTTTTTTTACATTTATATACTGATTTATATTTAAGTTAGCACACTTACGTTAGGCCAACCTATGTAAATACATCATGAACTTCCGCTGTTTTTTCCGATGCAAATACAACGTTGATCCAATGTTAGTTTTATCATATTTATATCAATGAAAATTTTTATAACGAAGTAAATAAAAATAGTTAGGAAAATTACATTGGTCCTACCTATGTAAAACAAATCTCAAAAGTTGTTTTTTTTTCCGATCTGAACCAACGCACTTTGAGTCCAAATCGCGAAAATATAG